TTAATCTTTTTTTGAATACTCTAAAATGATTATTTCATGGAACTAGTAGGACTGTTAAGAATTATTCAATATTTTCTTTTTTCTCTTTGTTAAACTTTACCGCAACACCTATACTGTGATATTGTGTAGCTTTTCATTGTCCTATTTTTGCTTTTGTTTTTTTGTTGTTGTAACTATATTTGTAAAACCAAATAAAAATTTATTATAAAAAAAAATACTGTTAGACCTGTTGATTACTTAAAACTCAAAAAACATGTTTTCTGACAGTAGAGACCCTGGAAAAAAAAGGTGGCGTCAGTTCCAGTGTTTTATGTTGCACAATCTTGGCACTCCGGTATACTAAAGTAAATATGAGGACCCAAAAAATAAATATATTACCACCTTTTGAGTAAAAAAGAAGAGGTTAAGCCAAATAAATAGATACCCAACATGGCAAGCTTTAAAACTGTGTGCACCCATGAACTAATGACAAACTTTGGTACCCTAAATTTACCATAGGTGACATTTTAAAGATGACACTTTAAAAGCCCTTACATATAACCGGTTCAGAGTTACCAATAATTATGAGCCTAGACTTATTGCTCTCACAGTGATATGTAACATGTGTAGAGAAATTGACATTTTTTTGTACATAGGCATCCCCGACGCATGTGTTTTCATTTATATGTGCATTTATGTGGGGTGTGGGGGGTCTAAAAAATTTTTTTGAAGAGGGGTTTAAGTGTTTGAGTGAAACTTTATTTTTTAACACATTTTTTCACTAAAAGCTCTCTTATCATACTATATGGTTGTGACAGGTTCTTTTTAATGAGACATGATAGGTGCTAGCACAAGGTAGGGCAAACACACTGGGACAGTGTGGAATTGATCGGGCAGCTTTCCCATTTTTGTAGGATCTTCAGCCATGTGACATTACAGGTGTCCTTGTTCCATCAGTGGGCAATCCTGAATGCTTTAGAGAACAATCTCTGAAGCATTCTCCTGTGAGTCTAGGGAAGCTTAATGATATACCCCAGCTGGCCAGTCCTTAATGTCCTAGTTTAAATGCCTTAAAATACACTGGGCTTCAATTAACATAAGAGAGAACTGATACTGAACAATGTGGTTGAAGATGACTGTTACAGCAAGACCTGTCTTTTTTATTATCTGAAATGCCAGGCAAAATATTAAAATATAAATTAAAAAAATGAATTGGGCTTCAATTACCGAGTATGAATGGGTGAGGCTGTAGAGTAAGCAGATAGAGAATGGTGCTTGAGCTATTGAACATGCTGGCCTTATTTTCACAAGGTCAGTTTCAGAGACAAGAAAACCACCAACTATAAGGATCAAGCTAGCTGTATGAGTGCTAAGATGAAAATTATAGCTATACCACAGATCAAATGCGTCTTCCGAGTCAGTTTAAATGCAAATGTTCACATCTGACTGGAGTGTGACTAAGTTTTTTGTTCATACAGGAGGATAATGTGAAGTAGAGAGGTGCCTTTTAATATATCCTCTCAAGTGAGTCTTCAGGAAAATTGTATTTGAATTCCACTTCATCTTAAATAGAGACATCCTAAATTAATTTCAGAAAGAGCACTGCAGCTTTTAAAAATAATTTTATGTGGTTATCTATCATACATCCAGCAATTCTGATATAGTTAATAAAAGAAAAATATAACTATGCAAACCAATTGCTTGATGCTTTCCCTTTTCAGGTATGTTGACTGAATAGAATTTTATACATTTTAAATTATGATTCACTGCTTTCTATTACCTCAACCACTGAACTTTATATATAAGAGCTCATTACGGTTATATACTGACACATAATTCTCGTTTAACAGCATATATATATTTAAACATATGACAGGCAGATGATGTTGATGCGATAATGGCATGCAGTAAACATTAACCTCAGTTAAAGTTTTAACAACTGCAAACATTAGATGGAATCTTTTCTCTGTATTATTTTGCTGCCTGCACACCTTTACAGTAGTTTTGTAAAAGAAAACAATCAATACATTTTTAAGATAAGCCTAATCTTAACCCAAAACTAGAGGACCAGAGGACAATATAAGTGGGCCAGAAGGGAAATATGAGACTCTTGAGCTGCTCATTGGTTGTCATTGTTGCAAGAACACAAATTCAGTTACTAAAATATCATAACCTGTTACTGTAATTTCAAATTTATTTTCAATCTTTTTAAATCTGCGACTTTCATTAAAATAATACCTGATAATCCTGCTATGAAGGTCCTTGTTCAACCACTTCACATTTTGAGGGTAACATCACTCTGTTCCTGTCCCTCAGTTGGATTGTCATCCTGTCAAATGTATTTTTGGAGAAGACAAGTGGCCATGCTGACTCTCATTGTGCAAGCATATTCTACCAGTCACCAGCAGGAATCTGTGCAAAAGGGATAAGATTTGGACTCATGTTGAACTAAAATGCACTGCAAATTTCCAGGACTGAAATTCAATTCAAGTGTTTGAATTCTGTAAAAAAGTTGCCACTGGTCCATAATGTCCTGCCCTGCCTTTAGGGTTGGTTTACTAAAGGGGAAATAGACTGTTCACATTTCTAGAGAAGTTTCACTTAGTGAATGTGGTGAAGCTCTGCTGACTTCCATCAGCCAACCACGGAAAAGTAAAAATACCATCTTTTTTTAAATTATTTTTACTCATGATTGGGTATTCTTTACAAAGATAAATCTCATTACATTCACTTTGAGAAAAATTTCCTTGTAAACTGCAACTTCCCTTGCAAAGCCAACAGTATAGTTGACTACCCAAACCTTAGCTGATCAGCTCTGGCATATATTTTGTTTTTGGGCCAATTCAAACCAAAGTACTCTGTGGTAATTAATACACTGCAACATGTTTTTTCATCTATTGAGGCATGCTTCATTAAGGTAACCTACTGATTTGGAATGGTTCTTTTATATTTTTCTATTTTTGTGCATTGTGGTATGCTGTAGTGCAGTGTGTATGTGCTTTTGGGTGTCATTCAAATATATATTTTGTGTTGCAGTGTGCTGAAGTAAAGATTGGGGTACATCATGCATTACTGCTGAGTAGTGATGGGCTGAACACCCCCCTGTTTGGTTTGCTGTCAAACATTCAAACCTAATGAATGTTTGACCGCGATCTTTGAACTCAATGCAAGTCTATGGGACTCAAACTTGTAAATTCAAAAGTGCCATTCTGAAGACTTATATGCAAGTTATTGGCCACGAAAGGGGTATAGGGACTCAGGTACTGCCCTGAGGGACATGAATCAGTGAAAAAAAAATTAAAAGTACTGTTTTTAAAGAGGCAGTCATTTTTCTTTGCTTAAATGTCATGCCTGGGGGGTCCACTTAAACTACCTGCAAAGTTGCACATCTGTACAATGTACAGAACCTGCTGCAGCAGGACTGACATTTCTTCTAAAAAAATGACTATTTTATTTTTAAAAAACCCCAAAAAACAGTGTTGGGACCCTTTAGGTCTGATAGGAAGATTAGGAGGGACCCCATGGTAAAAAATAAAAAAACAAAATGCATGAGGTTCCCCCTGAACGTCTTATCAGGCCCTTTAGACCTGGTAGGACTTTTAAGGGGAACCCCATCTCTGAAAAATGGGGGGGAAGTGCATAGGGTTCCCCCTAAAAGCCCTACCAGGCCCTTTAGTGCATGCTGAAGCGCAGAAGTTGCCAACTGTCAATAGCTAAAGACCTCCAAATTTCATGAGGCCTTCAGATTAGCACAACAGTAGTGCATAGAGAGCTTCATGGAATGGGTTTCCATGGTCGAGTAGCTGCATTCAAGCCTTACATCACCAAGTGCAATGCAAAGTATCGGATGTAGTGGTGTAAAGCATGCCGCCACTGGACTCTAGAGCAGTGAAGACATGTTCTCTGGAGTGACGAATCACGATTCTCTGCCTGGCAATCTGATAGACGTATCTGGGTTTGGCGGTTGCCAGTAGAACGGTACTGGTACTGGGGTTGGGCTTGGCCCATTAGTTCCAGTGAAGGGAACTCTTAAGGCATCAGCATATCTAGACATTTTGGACAATTTCATGATCCCATTTCTGTGGGAACAGTTTGGGGATTGCCCCTTCCTGTGTCAACATGACCGCGCACCAGTGCACAAAGCAAGGTCCATAAAGACATTGATGAGTGAGTTCGGGGTGGAGGAACTTGACTGGCCTGCACAGAGTCCTGACCTCAACCTGATAGAATACCTTTGGGATGCATTCGAGCGGAGACTGCAAGCCAGGCCTTCTCGTCCAACATCAGTGCCTGAGCTCACAAATGTCCCGAAACATTTGGCAATATAGTGTGTGTGTGTGTGTGTTCTGTGTATATATATATATGTATATATATATATATATATATATATATATACTGTGTGTATATATATATATATATACACACAGTATATATATACTGTGTGCATATATTATATATATATATTATATATATATATATACTGTATATATATTTTTTTTCATTATTGAATTTTTATTGTGCTTTGCCTAAAACAAAGAACAACAATGCCCATGGAACCATTTATATATTTTATTGTTGTCACTGCTATTGCTCAACTGACATACTCAACATATCCTGTTCAAATTCCACATTTTTAATCTTAAAAATGTATATGGAAAATCCCCTAGATAAAAATAATATAGGCAAAATAGCATTTATAGGGCATATATGATGTGCTAGTATTCTAAAGAGTCTTGAAGTAGAAAGGCTGACAATGAGCAAAGGAACTCTATTTCTTGAAAAAAGAGAGCTTTTGTCAGGGTAAAAACTAAGTAGGAATGATCATACATTTCCCAAATAAATGCAATATTTTCAACCTTGAAAACTAGATATAAGGGTCCACTTATTTAGAAAAAAAAGATCAAAACATTTTTTTTCATGTAAAGAATATTTAACAGGGTGTAGAATCACCACAAGAAAGCAACAGGAAAAATACAGTCAAGTACAGAGACATAAATATTTGGAGATAATGTTTTAAATAAAAGAAGTGGAGCTCATTAAAAAAGAGAGAATTCTAGACATTAGAGATGAGCGAATCGAACCAGGCGAAGTGGAATTCGTTTCGAATTTCAGGAAAAATTCGATTTGCGTCGAATCCGAATATTTGCATAATTCGGGTGCGCGAATCGGATTTTTCCCGATCAGCCGGCAAAAGTGTCCCTGCAGAGAGCTCCGCTATTTCTGACAGTTCTCTGACAGTTCCTTCACATGTACAGCGGTTGAAACATTGTATCTATTTGTTTCCATTTAGGATACAGATGTTTTTATTCGGAAATAAATAGATACAATGTTTCAACCGCTGTCAACCGCTGGAACTGTCAGAGAACTGTCAGAAATAGCGGAGCTCTCTGCAGATACACTTTTTGCTGTACTGGAATACTTCTTTCTTCTCATTTGAAAAGAAGAATGAGAAGAAGAATGAAAAGAAGAAGAAGAAGAAGAAGAATGAAGAAGAAGAAGAAGAAATGAAGAATGAAAAGAAGAAGAAGAATGAAAAGAAGAATGAGAAGAAGAATGAAGAAGAAGAATGAAGAAGAAGAATGAAAAGAAGAATGAGAAGAAGAATGAGAAGAATGAAAAGAAGAATGAGAAGAATGAAAAGAAGAATGAAGAAAAAGAAGAAAGAAGAAGAAAAGAAGAATGAAAAGAAGAAATGAAGAATGAAAAGAAGAAGAAGAAGAATCTTTTTTCATTCTTCTTTTCATTCTTCTTCTTCTTTTCATTCTTCTTTTTTCTTCTTCTTCTTTTCATTCTTCTTTTTCATTCTTCTTCTTCTTCTTTTCATTCTTCTTCTTCTTTTCATTCTTCTCTTTTCTTTTTTCTTCTTCTTCTTTTCTTCTTCTTTCTCATTCTTCTTTTCTTTCTTCTTCTTCTTCTTTTTTCTTCTTTTCTTCTTTTTTCTTCTTCTTCATTTCTTTCTTCTTTTTCATTCTTCTTTTTCTTCTTTTCATTCTTCTTTTCATTCTTCTTTTCATTCTTTCTTCTTCTTCTTTTCATTCTTCTTCTTCTTCTTTTCATTCTTCTTTTCATTCTTCTTTCTTTCATTCTTTTCTTCTTTTCATTCTTCTTTTTCATTCTTCTTCATTCTTCTTTCATTCTTCTTTTCATTCTTCTTCTTTTTCATTCTTCTTTTCATTCTTTCATTTCTTCTTTTCTTCTTCATGAAAAGAAGAAGAAAAGAAGAATGAAAAGAAGAATGAAAAGAAGAAGAAGAATGAAAAGAAGAATGAAAAGAAGAATGAGAAGAAGAATGAAAAGAAGAAAGAAGAATGAAAAGAAGAATGAAAAAGAAGAATGAAAAGAAGAAAGAAAAAGAAGAATGAAGAAGAAGAATGAAGAAGAAGAATGAAGAAGAAGAATGAAGAAGAATGAAAAGAAGAATGAAAAAGAAGAAGAATGAAAAAGAAGAAAGAATGAAAGAATGAAAAGAAGAATGAAAAGAAAGAAGAATGAAAAGAAGAAGAAGAATGAAAAAGAAGAATGAAAAGAAGAATGAGAAGAAGAAAAGAAGAAAAAGAAGAAGAAGAAGAAGAATGAAAAGAAGAAGAAGAAAAGAAGAAGAAAAGAAGAAAGAAAAGAAGAAGAAAAGAATGAAAAAAGAATTCTTCTTTCATTCTTCTTCTTTTCATTCTTCTTCATTCATTTTTCATTCTTCTTCTTCTTTTTTCTTCTTCTTCTTCTTCTTTTTTTTCTTCTTTTTCTTCTTCTTTTCATTCTTCTTCTTTTTCTTCTTCTTTTCTTCTTTTTTTCTTTTCTTTTCTTCTTTTCTTCTTCTTCTTCATTCTTCTTTTCTTCTTTTCTTCTTCTTCTTCTTTTCTTCTTCTTCTTCTTCTTTTTTTCATTCTTCTTTTCATTTTTCATTCTTCTTTTCATTCTTCTTTTCATTCTTCTTTTCATTCTTCTTTTCTTCTTCTTCTTCTTTTCATTCTTCTTTTCATTCTTTCATTCTTCTCTTCTTTTTCTTCTTCAAGAAGAATGAGAAAGAAGAAAAGAAGAATGAAAATGAAAAGAAGAAGAAGAATCTGAAAAAGAAGAAGAAGAATTTGAAGAAGAATGAAAAAGAAGAAGAAGAAGAATGAAAAGAAGAAGAAGAATGAAAAGAAGAAGAAGAAAGAAGAAGAAGAAGAAGAAAAGAAGAAGAAGAATGAAAAGAAAGAAGAATGAAAAGAAGAATGAGAAGAAGAAAAAGAAAAGAAGAATGAGAAGAATGAAAAGAAGAAAGAAAAGAATGAAAGAAGAAGAGAAGAATGAGAAGAAGAATGAGAAGAAGAATGAAAAGAAGAAAAGAAAAAGAAGAAGAAGAAAAGAATGAAAAGAAAGAAGAAGAAGAAGAAGAAGAAAAAAAGAAGAAGAAAAGAAGAAGAAGAAATCTTTTTTTCATTCTTTCATTCTTCTTTTCATTCTTCTTCTTCTTTTCTTCTTCTTTTTTCTTCTTCTTCTTCTTTTCTTCTTCTTCATTCTTCTTCTTCTTCTTCTTCTTCTCATTCTTCTTCTTCTTCTGAGGATGAGAATGAAGAAGAAAGAAGAAGAAGAAGAAGTAGGATGAAAATAAGAAGAATTCCAAGCCGGCGAAAAGAAGTGTATCTGCATTCTCCTCTATTCTTCTTTTCTTCTTTCTTCTTTTCTTCTCTTTTCATTCTTCTTTTTTCATTCTTTTGGAATTCTTCTTTTTCATTCTTCTTCTTCTTCTTCTTCTTCTTCTTCTTCTCCTCAAGAAGAAGAAGAATGAAGAAGAAGAAGAAAAGAAGGATGAAGAAGAGAAGAAGAAGAAGAAGAAGAAAATGAAAAGAAGAAAGAATGAAAAAAAGAAAGAAGAATTCCAAGCCGGCAAAAAGTGTATCTGCAGAGCTCCTCTATTTGACTTCTCTGACATAGAACTGTCACTTAGAGGAGCTCTGCAGATACACTTTTTTTTGAATTCTTCTTTTTTATCTTATTTCTCATCCTTCTTCTTCTTCTTCTTCTTCATCTCATCAAAAGAAGAAGAAGAATGAGAATGAAGAAGAAGAAGAAGAAGAAAGATGATGAAAATAAGAAGAATTCCAAGCCGGCAAAAGTGTGTATCTGCAGAGCTCCTCTATTTCTAAGTGTATCTGCAGAATAGAGGAGCTCTGCAGATACACTTTTTGAGGAGCTCTGCAGATACACTTTTTGCCGGCTTGGAATTCTTCTTATTTTCATCCTACTTTTTCTTCTTCTTCTTCTTCTTCTTCATCCTCATCCTCATCCTCTTCTTCTTCTTCTGAGGATGAGGATGAGGAGAAGAAGAAGAAGAAGAAGAAGTAGGATGAAAATAAGAAGAATTCCAAGCCGGCAAAAAGTGTATCTGCAGAGCTCCGCTAAGCTAAGTGTATCTGCAGAGCTCCGCTATTTCTGACATCTGACATTCACTCCATACAGCGGTTGAAACATTGTATCTATTTGTTTCCATTTATGGAAACAAATAGATACAATGTTTCACGCTGTATGGAGTGAATGTCAGAGAACTGTCAGAAATAGGCTATTTCTGACAGTTCTCTGACATTCACTCCTCAGCGCTGTATGGAGTATTGAATGTCAGAGAACTGTCAGAAATAGCCTATTTCTGACAGTTCTCTGACATTCACTCCATACAGCGGTTGAAACATTGTATCTATTTGTTTCCATAAATGGAAACAAATAGATACAATGTTTCAACCGCTGTATGGAGTGAATGTCAGAGAATTCTCTGACATTCACTCCATACAGCGGTTGAAACATTGTATCTATTTGTTTCCAAATGGAAACAAATAGATACAATGTTTCAACGCTGTGTATGGAGTGAATGTCAGAGAACTGTCAGAAATAGCGGAGCTCTGCAGATACACTTAGCGGAGCTCTGCAGATACACTTTTTGCCGGCTTGGAATTCTTCTTATTTTCATCCTACTTCTTCTTCTTCTTCTTCATCCTCATCCTCTTCTTCTTCTTCTTTTCTGAGGATGAGGATGAAGGATGAAGAAGAAGAAGAAGAAGTAGGATGAAAATAAGAAGAATTCCAAGCCGGCAAAAAGTGTATCTGCAGAGCTCCTCAGAGAACTGTCAGAAATAGCGGAGCTCTGCAGATACACTTAGCGGAGCTCTGCAGATACACTTTTTGCCGGCTTGGAATTCTTCTTATTTTCATCCTACTTCTTCTTCTTCTTCTTCTCATCTTCATCCTCATCTCTCATCTCTTCTTCTGAGGATGAGGATGAGGATGAAGAAGAAGAAGGATGAAAATAAGAAGAATTCCAAGCCGGCAAAAAAGTGTATCTGCAGAGCTCCTCTAAGTGTATCTGCAGAATAGAGGAGCTCTGCAGATACACTTTTTGCCGGCTTGGAATCTTCTTCTTATTTTCATCCTACTTTCTTCTTCTTTCTTCTTCTTCTTCATCCTCATCCTCATCTTCTTCTTCTGAGGATGAGGATGAGGATGAAGAAGAAGAAGAAGAAGAAGAAGTAGGATGAAAATAAGAAGAATTCCAAGCCGGCAAAAAGTGTATCTGCAGAGCTCCGCTAAGTGTATCTGCAGAGCTCCGCTAAGTGTATCTGCAGAGCTCAGCTTGAAACATCCTCATCTACAGAGCTCAGGTTGAAACATTGTATCTATTTGTTTCCATTTATGGAAACAAATAGATACAATGTTTCAACCGCTGCAAAAATGTGAATGTCAGAGAACTGTCAGAAATAGAGGAGCTCTGCAGATACACTTAGCGGAGCTCTGCAGATACACTTTTTGCCGGTTTGGAATTCTTCCTTATTTTCATCCTACTTCTTCTTCTTCTTCTTCTTCATCCTCATCCTCAGAAGAGAAGAAGAGAGAGAGGATGAGGATGGATGAAGAAGAAGAAGAAGAAGAAGTAGGATGAAAATAAGAAGAATTCCAAGCCGGCAAAAAGTGTATCTGCAGAGCTCCGCTAAGTGTATCTGCAGAGCTCCGCTAAGAAATAGCGGAGCTCTGCAGATACACTTTTTGCCGGCTTGGAAATCCTTCTTCTTCTTCTCATCTTCTTCTTCTTCTCATCCTTCTTCTTCTTCTCATCCTTCTCCTTCTTCTCTTCTTCTTCTTCTTCTTCTCATCTTTCTTCTCTCTCTTCTCCTTCTTCTCCTTCTTCTCATCCTTCTCCTTCTTCTCATCCTTCTTCTTCATCCTTCTTCTCATCCTTCTTCTCATCCTTCTCCTTCTTCTCATCCTTCTCCTTCTTCTCATCCTTCTCTTCTTCTCTTCTTCTCATCTTCTTCTCCTTCTCCTTCTTCTCATCCTTCTCCTTCTTCTCATCCTTCTCCTTCTTCTCATCCTTCCTTCTTCTCCTTCTTCTTCTTCCTCATCCTTCTCCTTCTTCTCATCCTTCTCCTTCTTCTCATCCTTCTTCTTCTTCTCATCCTTCCTTCTTCTCATCCTTCTCCTTCTCCTTCTTCTCATCCTTCTCCTTCTCCTTCTCCTTCTCCTTCCTCATCTCCAAGGGCATTTAAATTAAAGGTACAGTGTTCTGCACTAATTTAAAGGCTCTCTGAAGCCTAGAAACCCTTTTTATAAGTTAAATTCGTAGCGAATAAATTCGCATCGAATCGAATTTCTTCCTCAAATTCGGCGAATCAGGGTCTGATAATGTAGTCAGTGAACCTAATTTATTAAAGTGTGAAGTGAGATAAAGTGCAGTGAAGTGAAGCCATGCTTACTCCAAAAATCCAATTATGTACTGGAGAATAAAAAAAATAATTAGAGCCCCACTGCATTTCACCTCCCTGAACAAATAAGAAAATCAGACCCACTGACTATAATATTTTGCTTAGAGAAGCAATGAAATAGCAAAATTCCATTGCTGAGTGACAGTTCACTTATATGGATAATTTGAATGGTGCAATTGTATTCTGACTTCTGAGGTGGAAAGAGCTCTCCTAGCTGTTCTCTCCTGGCTGTGGAGGGAACGCTGGCACATTTGACAGCTGCTCCTCACACCAACTACAATTTTACAAATTTACAATATTTTCCTTTCAACTTTTTCCATTTTCTCCATATTCTGAATATGAGGAATAATTTATCAGATTTTGAGCTTCCCTGGGTTGAGTTCGGATTTTTAGAATCCCTAGATTGAGTACTCTGATCTCTTGGTTCTCTGTGGTTGTTTCTGTATAAATTACTGCTCCCTATTTCACAATCTGCCCCAGGTTGCTGCTGACTCAAATTCAAATCTTCCCCAGATCCTTGGGCCTCTTTCCTTGCCCTGCACTGGACCTCTGTTTCACAATCTGCCCCAGCTTGCTGCTGACTCACCTTTGAATCTTCCCTGGATCACTGGACCTATTTCCTTGTACTGCACTGTTAACACCTGGACTTTTTTCTCCCCTACTATACACGGATCTTTCAGTCATGCTGCTTATGTACTCTGCACTGCAACTCCTGCAACTAAAATAGAACTATTTCTTGGCAAAAGGCACATATGATCTCTGCCAGAATATTGGAATTTTATGACCAAAGAGATACATGCATTGTGGCACTCAATTCCTTCTCCTCCCTTCAAATACCTGTGCTGTCTCGATCCCTGCTTATCAGCTTAGGGCCGCAAGACCATTCCGCACTAGCACTGATCTCAAAAGCCTGCTTTCACTGACATGCCCTGACTCCACTCTGATTCCCATGGATCCTCCAAGGAAGGCCAGATCAACAATACTGAACACTCACTCTGCTAACAAGGAACTACTTCTTTCTGACTTCATTGTAGATTGGACTTTCTGTGCTTAATTGTAGCCTGGCACAAAATGATGGCATCCTTTTCAACCAACACACCACTCTGGGGTACGGATTATTTGACCTCCCACATCTCTCTGGCAAACATGGAGGTATAACTATTATTTACAGCTTGCTGTACACTTTACTCCCTGTTAACCTTCCGTCTTCTCCATTGAATGCCTTGTTTTCAAGGTCTGTGTTTCCCACTCATATGTTAATGCTACTGTTTATAGACCACCCAAGTCTTGTAAAGATTTCTTAGGTGAATTCTGTGATTTGTTTTCAATTTTATGCCTTAGCTTTAGGATAATTTTTATGCTTGGGGATTTTAATATACACACTGACTCAGAGTCTTCCAGTTTAGCTAAAGACTTCTCGGCTCTACTGGAATGCTTTGGCCTAACTCAATTTGTTTGCACCCTCATGCACATCTTCCCTTGACTTAGGACTGTCTGACCATCTAGCTATTCTTTTTAATCTGGAATTAGCAGTTTCCAACACCTCTCTGTTTCTATCTGTACATTATCACAACTGGGCTTCTATGGACCAGCCCAAAATTTAAAATTTTGTTACTTCTTCCCTATCCTACATCTCCTCCTCTGACACCCTTATTGAAAAAATAGATGCCCTTAATCATGTGCTTTCATCTTTCCTTGACACATTTGCCCCATTAAAAACTCTCATTCTCCTGATTACGTTTAATGAAGGCTGCCTCACGGAGACTGAAGCGCAGGTGGCGCCATTTTGACCTGTCTGTTCATTATCAGATTTGAAAGGATCATTTGTTGTGTCTATAAAGTTCTAATTGAGACTTCTAGATCAAACTATTTCTCCCATGTCATTGAAATAAATCTTAGCAATCATAGACAGCTCTTCTGCACCATTGACAGATTATTAAAACCTCGCTGTCCCTCAAAATTACCAGCTTCAGCACAGCTCTGTAACACATTCTTAGATTATTTTCTCCTTAAACATTTACAAAATAAGGCATTGAATTCATACTGCACCATATGTTTCTTCCACATCTCTTCCTCCCACTTCTCTCTACTTGACTTTGCATCTCTGGTTAAATTGGTCTCTAATATAAGATTTTCCACCTGTACTCTTTTTTATTAAAATCCTGTTTTAGTTCTCTATGCCCCTTATTCTCAATATCATGAATGACTTGCTTAGCGCCGATTTTGTACCAACAATCCTCAAAACTGCTGCCATCACCCCGGTACCTAAAAATCCCAACAGGGCTCCTGACAACTTAAACAACTTTTGCCCAATATCTAACTCAACCTTCCTTGCCAAGAGCCTTAAGTGGGCTATGATATCTCAGTTCAAATCACCTGACTTTAAATAACCTATTTGAACCCTTCCAATCTGGTTCTCTGGCAACTGCAAGGCACAGAAACTGCCTTGGTCAAAGTCACAAATGACCTTCTGTTAGCTTCTGATTCCAGCTCACTAACTATTGTTATTCTACTTGATCTTAGTTCTGGCTTTGATACTGTAGACCACAATATTTTGCTCTCTCGCCTTGAAACCATATTTGGAGTCTCAGAATTGGCTCTGAAAGTAATTAAGTCATATCTCAATGATCGCTGTCACTTTGTTTCTCTTTGTGGATTCCAGTCTGATGTTGGTCCAGTCAAGTGCGGTGTTCCTCGGGGCTCAGTCTTGGGTCCCTTACTTTTTATCATTTACATGTTTCCACTTGGCAAACTACTTAGATTGCATGACCACAGTTATCACTTTTATGCTGATGACACTCAGATATACCTGATTCTACTTTGGCTGCTTCTCTCCTATCTAACTGGATTTGTGATATAAAAACTTGGATGGCACACATTTTCCTTTAATTAAAC